TGGAATTTTCAATAAACACTAATTGTGCTCCTTTGCTCCTTTATTAACCGACCTGTTTTTATATCTCTGTGAAGCATAATTTATTCAAAATCTTCTACATGAGAAGAAACCACTTGCTGTGGCCTTCAACTCGACATTTAGGTATAGAAACGACGTTTAGTCAATTAACAATAGTACCTTCCATTCATATGTCGATTCGATATATACAAGTGAACACGAAATAAAAGACACCACAGAGTCTGCGACATCTGTTTCATATTTGGCTGTTTACTGATTATACAGGATAATTAAATTGTATGACAAACGAGATAATTTCAACTTTTCCATCGTAAGCTTTCCTTATCTATGTAGTAATACTCCTCTTTCACTTGCATACGGTGCTTATGTCTCCCAACCTATTCGATAGTCAAGAGCATGCACTGAGTACTATCAATGTTTAAATAGAGACAGGCTACTGACAGATAAGTTGATGTTACAGGGATTCCAACAACCTCTTTTAAAGTCAGCATTTTGTAAATTCTATGTTCGTCATAATGACATCGTTACCAAATATAGCTTATCATTGGGTCGTATTCTTGGGACTTACGTGTTTCATACCATATCAGGCCTTTGTTCATATACAAAATTGACTACAGAATGCTCCGTCTAACCTGAACAATGCATAGGGCTTATTTCAGGTGTGACCGGTCAACAGGGGACACTTGGTCCTCCTAGGCACATGGTCTCATCTCTGGAATTTCCGGGGTCCGTGTTTGATACCTTTCCTCAACCATTTTGTTATTAAAATTATCAGAAGAAATGAGTCTGAATGTAAGCTAGTAAATGTTTGTAATTAAAAGTTGGCTTCAATGTAAAGAAAGAAAATCTCGTTTATTTTCTTTTTTTAAGCATGTTATGATACTGGGCAATGTAAATGAAACAAAAATAATTGCTGATAGAACACATCTTTACTATGTAAATTATTTCTGCAATAAATCACTACTTTTTTTTCCAGGAACAGGCTTTTTTAAATTCCCACGAAGTTCCATAAATTTTTGAGATCATAACCGAATGTTGCAAAAATTCTAGGTAAGATGGACTTTTAATATTTTTATCTATTTAAAGAGGGGGGGGGCATACTTTTTTCTTTATAAAAAAGGAAAAAAATATACAAGAGCATCGCATTGATTTGATAAATAAAATATCATCAAGGAATATTTTTAAAACCTGAACAATTCTTGATTCATTAGTTTTGGTATTGAATACTTAATGTTTATAAGAAATAAATTTTGATGCTAACACTGCACTGACCGCAGAATTATTTTCAAATAAATAGCATTTTTGAATTATTGAATTATAACATTAAAAATCTTCAGTACATATATGAAAGATTCGATGTTCATAAATTTAAATTAATAAAATAGTTGATAAAAAATCAATTTTCAGTTAATGAAACAAATTTCAACAGTTCCATTCAGGTTTTAGACTTCTCTAACAAAGTAAAGATGAAAGGATGACAATGTATTTATATTTAGTTGATTTCCAATGTTTTGTAGTTGAATATAGAAATTATTTCACGAGTAATATTTATATCACGAGTGATGTATTTTCAACTCTGCTTAGCACTCGTGAAAACATAATAAAAAATCCCGTCTGACAAGTAATATTAATTCCATATCCAACTACAAAATATTAGATGTTCTATTTATTACATTTTCCTTGATTCCCCCTATGCCCGTCTTTTTGAAAAACAATGTGATGGGCTGTGACGTCATAGTTGAGTGGTTGATGCTTTATAGCTTAGCAATTGTTAGATTGAAATTATTCGATGCATTCAAATCACTAGTTTACGATTCGAAAACGCAATTCCTTTTTTCACATCAATGAAAGTTAGATCTACGTTATCTGAGTGCCTCTTGTTTATGTATCTCATATAAAACAGTTGCTTACCGTTTGATATATCTCTTGATATTTTTGTACAATATCCTCTCAGAGACATTTGATAAATTTAATGGTGGAGATCTGGGCAATAACAGTTCTCAATCATTTGTTATTGTGTTTTTATAAATAATATTTGATTTTTGTTTTCTTTGGTTACTCCCACCCCCATATTTCAATCTCATAACAATTAGCTTTTTGTCACGAATTTTGAATGTAACTAAAGAGAAAATGATATGTTTATAGAGAGAAATGTTTTGGATTTTTAAATAAACGTTTAAGTTTTTTAGCAACTCAACCAATTATACAAGAAAATCACGAGACTTTGTTTATGATATATAATTGCAGTACATATTCAATAAATAAATAGATGGAACATAATTTAGGAATATTTCCTTGTATAAAGCCATGTAAAATATACCATTTGTTTTGTATATTCTCAAAATCATTTTCCTTTAAAAAATGTCTTTCTTGGCATGTTGATCTAATGTTCATGTTCAAGGAACAGCTAATCAATGTAAAGTTAAACAGTCGACATCTAGAATCTTTGAATACATGTTTTGATGTTGATCAATGAGTGAATGGTCGATATGTTACCAGTGATATTGACCAATGATGGTATTACAGAAATATTAACCATGAATATAGAAATAAAGGTCACTGAGTGTATGACAAATATGTTGAGACAAGGATATTGATTAGTCACCGTTAGACAAAGATTTAAGTAAGTGAGTGTATTATAGAGATGATGGCCAGTAAGTGTACATGTACCTCTGATTTCTTAAATTGGCCTGTGAGTGTAATTGAGATGTTGGCCAGTGATGTTGGTCAGTAAATGTATGACAAAACTGTTGGCAAATGAATATGTGACAGATATGTTGGCAAGTGAAAGTATGAAAGAGATGTTGGCAAATGAATGTATGCCAGAGATGTTGGCAAGTAATGTTGGTCAGTGATGTTAGGGAGTGAATGTATGAGATATATGTTGGCCAGTAAATTTTGAGATATATGTTGGTCAGTGAATGTATGACAAAGATATTAGTCAATAAGTGTATGACAGAAACAAAGTATAGTATCTAGTATAAAATTTCGTTAAGGTATGAGATGAATAAATATAAATTTTCAGCAAAACTTGGATGTGCATTTAGTAAAGTGATATATGCATGTATCATATCGTGTGTGTTAAAATCCCTAAGTTCTCATCAAGTCCTCTAAATGAAATATGAAGATAACAAACATTAATCAATCACAAAGTAAATTGGAACAACTGTGTAGTATTGAGAGCAGAGGAAACAGACCTCTAAAACATCAGAGGTGGGATGAGGTACCATAGAGGAATACGCATCCCCTCTCGAACGGTCACAACTCTAAATGCAGGTGATAGGTGATATTAGTTTATTGCTATGTGTAAGAACCTTTGGTGTCTTTTATTTCGTGTTCAAAGGGATACCGGGTATATCGACTTAACGTAAGAATGAAAATGGATATTGCTAATTGATAAAACGTCGTCTTGATATCTGAATGTTGAACTGAAAGCCACAGCGAAAGCTTTCTTCTTTTCATCTAGAATTTTTTAAATAAACTCCTCTTCATATGAATACAAAAAATAAGTCTGCTAAAAATGCGGTACAATCAGTACGTATGGAAAATTCAGCAGATTGTTGAAAGACTTGATTGATCTCCAAAAACTACTTAGATACTGTCAATCAGAGATTCAGCTATTTTTTTATTATAAGCTGCAGAGTACTTGTGTGTACAATCAGAATATTTTTAGTAAAATAAATAAATTTAGTCAATTTACGAGTTCCATTTTATTAAAAAAGCAGCTGTGTATGCTGTCAAAAGGCTTGGATTTTAATATATCATAGTATAAAGTATTAAAAAGTTGTACTTTTGGATGGATGTTATTGATTTTGATAAAATTTTGTGATTTCAAATTTGCTAAAAGTTCCTTTGAGTTTTTAAATATCCACATCTGATTAACACCACTTCTCAAATATGATGTTGTGCAGTACTCCTGAAGTTTCTCCTTCTCTGTTGTCAATATGGTGGTGAAGAGTAAAGAAAGAGTGTTGGCAGAACATTTTCTGGAACCTGTTATGTACTATTGTTTGTGAAGATTTTATATCGTTTAAGAATCCAGTATAGGCATGGTTATTCAAATTCAAATTGATTGTTGGGCATAGTAAAAAATTTTAAACTGACTTATGATTTTATAAAATTTCCTCCTTAGAAAAGGAACTGTGAGTATAAGCTGGATTACCATTTGCAGAATAAAAATTCAAATTCCTCTAAACTGCAATCAAAATAATAAGCCTGAGAAACAAAGACAATGTTGCTACCTCCTGTGTCACCTGGAACTAGTACATATTGATCGTGTAATCTAATTTTTTCTCACTTCGAATTCCAAATTATTGAAGACAGGATAGATGGTTTTCATATTGCTCCTCAATCGCTTAATGCGAGATTTCAATATTTATCTAATACCTTTAATCCATTCTGACAATCAATGGCTTCTTTTAATGTGAAATGTAAGCTTACATTCGTACGAGTTCTTCAAATCATGTACATAGTTACATTATTTACAACATGTGGAGACTCAGTAATATAAACACAATTTATCGTACGTGAACGTTTAATGCTATTTTTATAATCTAAGCCAAGCTGCTTTAAAATATATTCTATATGACGAAAAGGTAAACAGTAATTTTTGTGGTTCACCTGTATTAGTCATTAATCATTTATAGAATGTCACTTTTATATGTTTGGGAGTGAAACATATCACAATAAGCATAATGGAAAAACAGTTCAGATTAATATCAATTTATGCAAAATCCACTACATTTAGTGCATTTTAAAAAACAACAGTACAACAAATAGAGTATGTACAAATAAGCTTTTAACAAGTAAGGGAATAATAATGATAAATTAAAAGAAGTCAAATACATGTTTAAGACATATTAGATGGGTTATCAATGTAGTTCAAGTAGGATACATGTAAAGGATGTATTAACTGAATATTTTCTTCTCGTGTGTGAATAGCCTTCAACCACTTTCCAATGCTTGCAATGAAAAACAAAATCAAAAATGAATATTTAATTTTAATCTACAACTGCGTGCAACCAATTGCATGTTATTCAAAACAAATCAAATATACTCTTAAGTCTCTTCTCTACAATTAACAATTTTCTTTGGCATCTTGCTCCAATATCCATCCGTCAAATTATTTAGACAAGATTGTCACAACAGTTAATCTATAGAATGTCATGGAAGCTGGATTTCTGTAGACGTTTCATAAAGCATCATGTTATTGAAGTGCATCAACACAGAGATGGTCTTCTTCTACAAAGCCAAATCCTCCGTAGAATCGCTCCGCCAGCAGAGTATAACCCTCCTGTTCTACGGGATTTGGTATCGTCTAAGTGACAAAAAAATTCATAGAATTTTTTTTAATTCCTTCTTTGAAAAGGATTGTTGGGATTAAAAATACCTCAAGTATTTTTTTCTGATTTCAAATTCCAGTATTATATAAAAATTAAACTCTATTGATAAGCAATGCGGCATTTAACTAAACATTTCGCCGTATACATATACATGTATATCAAATATAGAACTATTTGCTTTTGATATATATATAAAGAAGTTAAAAAAAATTCCAGAATTATTAATAATATTTGAGAAAAGAAATAAGAACACTAACCTTTTAAATCTGGTATACCAACTTCAATTTGTTCACGTAAATCACCGGGTAAAATCATATCTCTCATGTTTAGTTGATCAACATCGACATTTTGCATTTGTCCGAGATCTTGTCCAAAATCTTGCATTTGTTCAAATTGTCCCTCAGCGAATGATAAAGTTAGGGCAAAAACCAAAACTAAAGTCAAAATAAATTTCATTCTTACTACGTAAAGTTTCAATACATGTAAATATCAATCTGAAAAACTGTGCAAGATTTCTGCATTTTATACTTGTGATGAGGATTAATCTAACAATCCTTAAAATATTTTGTTATTCGTCATCATTCTGATGTATTACTACGGATTGTACGGAATAGATAATTGACCCTGAGGATTGGGTTCACCGTCATTGTACGTGTTTATTTCCGTTCTTACATATCTAACTCAGTGTGATTTACTCATGCATGATAATGCAAAAATTTAGCCCATTGATATAAAAGCGTCCCAAATGTTAAATCATGTTTAAATGAGACAACTTATATCTCTAATAGAGTGTGAGAGTACGTAATTTTCGAATATACACATTCCGTGAAATGAAGTTACATCATGTCTTGCAAATCAAGTCCCATTTTAAGTAAGTATTACAGAATCTTGTTTGATGTCAGATTGCACTTTTACAGGCGGTAACTTTATTTGCTTCTATAGGAATCAGGTACATATGATAGTATAATGAATTCAGTTTTAACTAAAACTAAGTGGGATAATTAAAAAGAAATGAAAGGAGAAAAAAAGTTGATAGAAAGAAGTAGATACAGCTACAACCCTTATAATATTGAATTAAAATTCTCACATTCAAGTTCTGTTTCGAAATACACTTAACCATATTTTTATTGTCCATTGATATTAAGGCCATCTTTTTTTGTTTGCCATCTTCCGACCGACTGACTAAAACGGCCCGACTCAAAACTTTTTTCGACCTCCAGGAAGCATTTTTTTTTATTCATTCATCACTATTTTAAGGACATACGCAACGTAGTTTGAACTTTATTGTCTTTTTCCCTGGAGCTGAAGAGTTCCAATACTTAAAGGAACTGTGTGCTACATTTTAATGTCTATATATGCTGTTGCACACTTCTTTTAAAACAAGTTTGGATAAATAAAAAATCTAGAATATATGTTTAGTAATTTCTGTATATTTTTCCTTGAATTATACAAGAATTTTCATTAATTGATATTTTTCAAAACCCCTGGTAATGCAAGCTGAATTTTGTCTACGAACATATGATGACACTATAATCTTAAATTAAAAATATCTTGAAAAATTACCAGTAGTAAAGATACGTTACGTATGTCATTAACTTCATATTTGCAGCTTTTTTTGAATATAAAAAAATTACCCCTACCTACCAACCTACCCAATTTTTTATCCTCAGTCGGGACAAGGCGTTCAAACATATTTTTAAAGATGACCCAACTACTTGTCATTTGTACTTTATGATATGTCATTTAAATTTAATGTTGAATACACCTGTGCATCTATAAATCTTTTAAAAAATTCTGCTACAGTCTTGAAATTAAAAAATGAAATAAAACAACTAAATCTATATATTGCGAAGTAGGCAGAATTTTTTTAAAATTAAATTTGGGCATTACTCACATTCGTGAATAGAGTTCATAATCGATTTTCATGGATATCAGATAAAAGAATCAGATAACGTCTTTGGTAGGGACTTGCATTTAGTAGGAAATCGTTAAGATTATGTAAATTTTATCTGCATATGATCCCGTTGTGAATTCATTAAATCAAACAATACACAGCCAAGGTGTTCAAATAATAATTTGACATGAAATACTCATCAGTAACAAAAAAAATCTGCGTTTCTTCACATCAAATGCAGCTGCAGTTAATAAATGAAATAAATAAAGAGCTCTTATGGAAAATAAGATGAAGAAAAGTGAATTTAATTACGGAAATAAGTATTGCATTTCTATTTTAGGGCATGTTAGCCTGTTACATTATACTTTGAAGGCATTATTACGTCTCTGGAATTCCCAGTGATGCTTTAAATGCTTAGGAGTAAATATTTTGATTAAGTACAAATTACACATTATACACATTATTTACCAATAAGTTTCTTGGAATATATATATATATATATATATATATATATATATATATATATATATATATATATATATATATATATATATATATATATATATATATATATATATATATATATATATATATATATATATATATATATATATATATATATATATATATATATATATATATATATATATATATATATATATATATATATATATATATAATAATAATAATAATAATAATAATAATAATAATAATAATTTATGAATAATAAAAATTTCAAACACATTTTGAAATATTTCGACCGTGTTACCGGCCTTCATCAGTCGTGTTTATTTGAACGCATAGCACCTCAACATTATTGGATATACAATGTATACATAACGGAATTGACACCATCATATTACTCACTTCTATATGGCATGTCAAACGTTGCAATATTCAATCTTTTCCATTTGTGTTGTATAATTTTCCATTTATATTCTATAATTTTTCATTTGTATTCTATAATTTTTCATTCGTATAGTATAATTTTTTCATTTGTATTCTATAATTTTTCATTTGTATTCTATATTTTTTCATTTGTATTGTATAATTTTTCATTTGTATTGTATAATTTTTCATTTGTATTGTATAATTTTTATTTGTATTCTATAATTTTTCATCTGTATTCTATAATTTTTCATTTGTAATGTATAATTTTTCATTTGTATTCTATAAATTTCCATTTTTATTCTATAATTTTATAGTACAAATGGAAAATTATAGAATATAAATGAAAAAATTATACAATACAAATGGAAAATTATACAATACAAATGAAAAATTATACAATACAAATAGAAATCAATGAATATTGCAACCTTTGACATGCCATACTACTACGAACAAGCATGCATTTGTAATTGGCTACAAAAAGTTCCGTCATTTTACAAATCATTACCAAATGTTGTTCAATATTTTAGTTAAAATTCTTTTCCCCATGTCTATAAACACTTGGGATTGGGTTTCTCCTATCAGGAATAAATTTAAAAATCTACACCAGAACACTGAACTGACTGGAAAAAAAATAGTAAAGGAATTTATCTGGTTTGATATCAGTATAGTTTGCATGTTCTGCATTGAAAACTTGTTAACATTTATGTTTGAGTATTATTGGTAGTCCAAGGCAACATAGCAGCTTTTTTTGTTTCAAAACTAAGAAACAGAAAATATGTAAGGTGTAAACAACTTGCCATTTATTTAAATAACGAAAATGTCATTCTTAGAATAATTACAAAAGAATTTGGCATGGAGACATACATATACTAGCATCAAGGAAAGATTGCTGACACATAAACAGTTTCTTGACTAGAAATGAAAATCAATAAATTATTACACAACAGTGGCCTCCAAGCCACAATATTGTTACAACACATTGATATGATAATACGATAGAATACAACATCAATCTTAACTGGAAACAAAGTGGTGCATAAAAATTACCAGAAATTGTAAAAATGTAATATTAAAAGTATGGTGGACGAATTACATAAATTCTATTTGAATATTTTATTTTCGTGTGTAATAAGTCTAAAGTCACATTTTTTTGGAAGAAACGGAGAAAAAACTTCAAAAAATATTTTTTTGATTTTTTTTATTGCTTTTCAACGACGTTATGCAAAAATAATGTATCACAGACACACACACACATACACACACTCACACAGAAACACACACACACAACGGAAAAATATATCCAGAAGTCTCTGATCTTCAATGCACAGTTTTCTAGGGCACCTTGGTCTTATATCCATTCATTTCGGCATATTTGTACAAGATTGTCACAGCATTTATCTATAGAATGGCACTTGATACGAAAATGGATTTCTTTGAAGGTTTTTCAATACAAAATGAACTGAACTTCCTCAACACATATGTCTCCAAACACAAGGCCGCCTCCTCCGGAGCATGCGTGATATCCCTCCGCCAGCCGAATATATCCCGCCTATTCTTCTTGATTCGCTATCATCTGAGATAATTTTTTTTTAAAAATTAACAAAATATTTTCAATTTGTATGATAACTTATTTTTACTTTATTGACAAGAATTGTATTTTAATCTGATTGAATAAACTAGTGTTCCGTTTATATATTTTTTTATTAAAAGTTATGCAATGAACGAAATATTTTGCCCTTCCTATATATATATATATATATATATATATATATATATATATATATATATATATATATATATATATATATATCATGTACTTTTAATTATTCATGAATTAAAACATGTCTCTCAAAAAAGAATTAAGCCAACTAACCCTGTAAATTTGGCTTTTGTAGTTTTTTTAGCTTCCTTTTGTTCACTGTTGCTATTGGTTAAAATCAGATCTCTCAAGTTTGGTCGTTCTAAATCGAGATCTTGCATTTGCCCGAAATCCTGCATTGGCCCGAAATCTTGTCCGAGATCCTGCATTGGTCCAATATCTTCCACTTGTCCCAGATCTTGACTTTGTCCAAATTGTCCCTCACTGAAGCATAAAGTCAAGGCAAAAACAAAAGCTAAAGTCAGTATAAAGTTCATCCTTGTTACATCTAAGTTTAGTTTAATTAAATGTAAATTTCAATCTGACAAATTGTGCAAGATTTATTCAATTTATACTCATATTGAGGGATATTTTTGGGTTGCCAGATTTTTACAATCCTTATAATTCAGTGTTATACGTCATTTTTCTGATGTATTAATACGGAGTGTGCGGAAGAAATAATTAGCCTTAAGACGGTAAGGGATTGTAAGTGTTATTTCCGTTCATAGCTTCATTATTATTTACTCTGAATATACATTTTGTATTCAGTTTGAACCGAGAGATAAATTGAATGTGGAAATATTAATCCCATATTCTAAGTTTGTAGCGATACTTTTTTTCTTTACCCCCTTTTCGTTCTTCATCCAATTCTTTCTTTTTATCCTCGAAAATCTTGGTTATATCAGAGTTCATTATGCTACCCTGTCTATCTTAGCAAAAGGGAAAAGGAATTTCACTGAAATTAAACTTTATGAGGTAAGAAAAACAAAAACCAGTAACATCTGAAAATTGTTTCCTAGCTGGGGTTTTCGTAC